TTGGTTTGATACTAGGAAGTGCCTCCGTGATAAGCTCGGCTTCAGAGTAAAATTTGGCATCCGCAAAGTGAGATTCTTCTGTTGAGAAAGGCTTGGTCTCAGCAACGACTTGTCTCACTTCTCTATCATGATAATATTTGAAGCATTGGTGCAATGCTAATGGCACAACTCCTGTCTCATGTAACCAAGGTCGCCCCAATAGCAACTCATAAGATGTTTTGGAGTCAATAACATGAAAAAGAGCAAAAGACCCCAATTCTCCGATCTCCATCTTAAGGAGAATCATACCAATGGCACGTTGCCCCCATTGATTAAATACTTGAATTGTTAGTTTACTTTTTGACAACTCATCTATAGAGATTCCAAGTTGCTTCATGATGCGAATTGGCATGATGTTGACAGTCGATCCACAATCGATCAAGATACGAGATATTTTATAATCTCAAATAAACCCACTCAAGTAAAGGGGTCTATTGTGGAGGAGAGATCCTAACTGCAAATCTTCATCAATGAATGAAATCGTTGCCATGCAATCAGATCGACTAACTTGATCAGCAACAGTTAAGATATTCTTTTTGAATTTTTTCGGGTTGGCCAAAGCTTGTACCAACATTTGTCGGGTTTCTTTGGGTAATTCAAGTGCCTCAAGAAGACTTAGGTTTGATGAAATTTCTCTGAACCTTTCAATCACTTCTTCTTCATCTGTTGATACCTCTTTCTGAGCATTTTTGGTATCTGAATCTTTATATAGTGGAGCCTCAGTTATGCATTTTTCTTCACAAGCACTGATCACATAAGATGTAATTGATTCCCTTGTAAAGAATTACTTGAAAAAATATTCCATCAATGTTACAGGTGTGCAAGAACGTAACTTATATCTTCATCATCAATGGTTGTTGACTGAGAAAACACTCTTCTTTTTCCTCCACGTCTTTGATTTCAGTGAGAATGAGGTCCCCTCTTTGTTTTGGGGTGTTTTGGCTTATTAGTTGAAGGATATGAATATTGTAGCTTATGCACTCTCTGAGGTTTCACCTTAATTCATTCCCCCAAATCTTCTTCAGTAGCCACAAAATACTCCAAAAGAGGCCACCCACTTGGTTTGAGATCCAAAATAGGTGCTCCTAGCATGAGCTCCGAGTCGCCTAGTAGATTAGATGACTGTGTGTTAGTAATCGAAGTTTGATATTTATCCTTTTTGCTGACAAAGTTTGACCAACCATCCCCGATCTCGTCTTCTAATTCAGATGATGATGCCCAAACATCTAGATCATCTGTCATGAGTTCATAAAGCGTTGGAATATTGGGATTTTTATGCCTCGACATACCTGGGTATGCATATACCGTTGTTATCTCATTATCAACAATTAACTGTACTTGCACAGCTCCTTCAAAAAGAGGAACGGTAAGTTCTTTACTTTTGGTTGATGATGTTTCTTCTGTAAAGATAGAAGAATTCAACGGTTGTGATGATTTCTTAGGATGTATCAGAGGTGATGATTGTGCTCCTTTGTTTGAAATTGGTATAGGGTCGAAAGACCCAAAAGTGACCATTGTCACATTTGCAGCTACCATTTCTTCGCTAGAATCGAGTTTAATTTTTTTCTCGTTCAATAAACGAAAAATCTCTTCCTTTAAGATAAAACATCTTTCAAGGGGATGACTAATAATCCGATGATATTTACAATACTTCGGATTATCAACCATTCCCGATTCTTCTAGCCGCTTGAGTGTTGGAAGCTCGATAAGTTTCAACTCGAGTAGTTGATCAAAAATATCTGACACTTCATCATCAGTGAAAGGATATTTCTTCTCTTCAAGTTCTTTCAAACTTGGTCTTGTCTTCTTTTGAGTCTAATCTTGATTAAAATTGACGTGGAAGTCTGTCTTTGGCTTTTTATCAAAAATCTTCACCAATGTAGTGGAGATTGTCAAAGACTCTTTTGATTTGGAGGCTTTCACATCTTTCTTCACGTCTTTCGTTATGTCTCTCTTTTCACGAGGGTCGCTGAGAAAGTAATTTCCGTGCCTAAAAATTTGAATTTCCAAGTCATGGGCTCGTGTTGCAAGTTCTTCAAATGTATAAGACATATTTTCTTGGAGACTGTAGAGTAGTCCCCAATGCATTCCTTGGACACACATATCAATCGAAGAGGCTTCACTAATGCGTTCCTTACAATTGAGAACAAGACTCCTCCAGCGTTCAATGTAATCAATGATAGTTTCGTCTTTTCTTTACTTTGTTCCTGCAAGTTCAGGAAGGTCTACCAAATGTCGAGTGCTGTAGAAACGAGTGAGAAACTCTCGTTCAAGTTGGTCCCAACCATCAACGGTCCCAACTGTTAGATCAGTGTACCAGTCAAATGTAGCCCCTCTGAGGGAATGCACAAATTGTTTCACCATCAGGTCACCGTAGGTATCAGCATTATTGCATATTTCAATGAAATGAGCAACATGTTGCTTTGGGTTGCCTCTTCCATCAAACTGTTGAAACTTTGGGTGTTCGTAGCCTATTGGCATTTGTATCTCGTCAATTCATCTGGAATATAGTTTTGCATATACTAACGAAGACTATGGAGCTCCTCCATACTAGGCTCGAATGGTATCAGCAATCATATGTTGAAGTTGTTGGACAGAGAGTGCGGTAACAAACATTTGAGAAGAATCTCGCATGGCATTTTGTGCCACAGCTCGATCATATTGCTCTTGTTTTTGTTGTTGTTCTAAAAACTTTGAATTTTCTGGCATTTTAGTACCAGACGGACTTGAAGTTTCTTGACTGCTTCCTTTTGAAGGTTCTTGCAATTCAAGTCAGTTCATGAGTGCAGCGATTTGCATTTATTTACCTACAAGGGCCTTTGGTCAACTTCTCAACCGTAACAGTGAATTGTTGAAGATGTTCTTCAGATGAAGTGGCTTCCGTCACCATCACAGGCATAGGCATATCAGAGGCCGAGGAATAATCACCCCACTTCTGTTTAGGAGAAATCTCGGAGTAAAATTCAGTCTTCGAGCCTGTGCTAGAGTGTGTCAGGCAAAGAATCGTCCGTCTCTTCCTCCAAATCGATAGAAGAATGAGCAGGTTGTCTCTTTCTGCTTGGAAGAGCCTTCCTTTTGTTTTGCCTAGATCGATGCTCCATCGGTGGCAAAAGTTGAGATTTACCCGCCATTGTTCTGGGACAGGTTATTGGAATTGACTTCTCGACCAGGTCCGCTGACTTGTCGGTGGAAGGAATCACGATGTCTTTAGTTGTCGTTGTTGTCGGGCTTGTTGACTTGAGAGATAAGAGGAAGAAAGGGTCCCACCGGACGTGCCAAAATTTGTAATGACAAAAATTGTGATGTAAATTAACACAAAATAAGGTCAAATTACAATAGTCAATTTGATTGACTTTAAGTAAAAAATGTAGTGTTGACTCTTTTTGGCGTGCTTCTCACGTGCACTATCCTCAAATTCTCGATGAATTTGATGAAGTTGATGAATTTGGTGAAGATGAGAGCCAAATTGGCGTATTTCTCACTCTTCAATTGGTGGCTTTGATGAAAACGAGAGTTGGATCAATGTATCTTCCACTCTTCAATGTGATGATGCTTTTAATGAATTTCCTCACCGTTCTTCGTTTGGAATGGCTTGAAGATGATTTGGATTTCTTGAAGAAAGACCTTGGCGGTGTGTTCTTCTTCTCGGAGATGAACTTGCAAAGCTTTGAGGCTTTAGTGAACTTCGAGCAGAGCTTCGCCGATCTTCCTTTTTCCTTGGCTTCTTCTCCCTTTTTTCCTTTTTTGGCCTACCCCAAACCTCTATTTATAGTGGTAGGAGTATTTATCCATATAAAGGTATTTTACCTAAATACCCTTGTATGGACTTTAGATAATGGGCTACCCATAAATTTGTGGGCTTTAGTTAATTTATAGAGTTTAAGTCCAACTTTTTTAATATTTGTTTAATTTGGACTTATGGAATTTAAGTCCATTTAATTTAGCAAGCCTTGTTAATTATATTTGGGCTGTAGAATTTAGGTCCAACTCAAGCTTATTTAATTACATTTAGACTTATATCATTTGGGCTTATGAAATTTAGTTTCAACCCAATTTCATTTATCTAATTGATTTGAGCCCAATTATAAACATTAATTTGTTAATTAAATTTTTAATGTCTACAATTACAACAGTAACCATTAATCAAAACTATACAAGGTAAAACAATCATAGTGACCGTTTATAATTCAAGGTTTCACTGTGATGTTTAGACAGTGAAAACATAATATAACTAATTGGTAATATATGCTTAACTTGATACTTATCAAATCTCTTCAAGCTTGACAATGTAAATAACTTGGTGTAGTCCACATGTTTTAGGAACTTGAAAAATGGCCACTTGCCAAATCTTTTTACCACTTGTGTTGCCTTTTTGTTGTCAGTGACTAGTTTATCTTCAACGTTGACAATTTCACTCACTTGATTTGATATTTCAGGTGATTATTTTTGTGCCCTAGACCTTTGCTTTGGCAATCCTTATTTCTGAATGCCCGTCTTAACTCCTTTTTTTCCCCAAGTTTTCAAAATCATCATCTCTTTTCCTTTTCCTCTTTTTCTTCTTGATTTTCCTTACCATGGATGTTTGTCCTTTGTTGTATTGTTCCATAGGTGGAAACATTTGGTCATCATCATTTTCTGGTTGTACATGTTCATGTGTAATCTTTTTTCCTAATTGATTGTACTATTGTGTAACAGCATGAACTAACATCTAGTTTATATGATCATGCATTGTCTCATTCTCCTCTTGTGGCTAGTTGAATGCCTATTTCAATTTAACCATCCATGTTTGTTGCCCTCTCTTGCTCCATCAGTCTGACCTTTTGTTCCAATTCATGTATTTTGATGTCCTTTTCAATTTTGTGATGTTCTTATCTTCAATTTTCAAGTTTTAGAGCATTGCTTCGAGCTCCACATTTTCAGTAGTCATTGTGAGGCAAGTTTCAATGTTCCATCTTTCTAAGCTAATAATTATTGATTTCATTTTGGTGACCACAGTCCTCGGTTGGCTCGGTTTGTGTTGACATCATTTTGATATGCTCGAATGAGTTTTCATATGATATTGCATCAAAAAATGCACCCTTAGGCTCAATCAACTCATTAATTTTTCTTCTTTCTTGCATGAATTCATCTGCAACAACCACACCTATTGTAATTATTGGATCAATATTCCCCATCATTCCTTCAATGACATTCTCAACATTATGGAGTTTCTGTTGATACTCTGTAGCATCTTGTATGCATAGTCCTTCTGTCACAGTGACATCAACTCTTTTAAATTCAAGGTTGTCCTTTTCATTTCCTTTAGCAGCAGTGACTCCTTCGTTTCTGTCCCTATCTCCTTTCTCATTTGCATGCTACTCAATTCCATCAAAGACAGTGACTGCTTCATTGTGTTGACAGTCTGCATTCTTGTCATGTTGATATACAACAAGTGCTCCCTAAACATTATTGTCATCTTGCTCTAAGGATCTATTTTTCTATTCGTGCTCTCGTCAATCTCTTTTCAAACGCATGTGTTATAACACGATTGAGTGATGATGAAATTTTAAGGTCATATTTCAATGGAATTCCATTTGATGAACCTTAAGAATGCATGTGGTGTATGCCCACGCTATTGTGTGTCCACTTGTACAAAGGAATATTATCACCAAAATGTATAAGCACAGTAGCCTTGTAACATTCTCGTAATCATTACCATGAGAACCATTAACAGCTTCCATCAATATCTCCTTTACGATTAGTACAGTTAGCCTACTATCCCTATGGAATCTTCTATACACCAATCCAATATCAAAATTGCACAAAGACTCACTTTGACAATTGGAGGGCTCAGGTAAGACAAGATGCAACTGAAAAATTAAATAAAAATTTGTTTATAATATAGCGACCAATCATGTAATTTACTTTATTTTTACATAACATTACTTTTTGAATTTTTTCGACATAGTTTCCTAACCCAATACATTCTATTTATCAAAATATATATATATATATATTGTGCCAAACAAAACTAGTCAACATGACATTAAATTGTACTATAAACAATTCTCACATTCATTTATAAGGTGAAGATGATAGTTCACTTATAAAGGAAAAAATGGTCATCCTATGAGTACCAAAGCTCATTGATCAAGATTTTGTTGCCATATCTTAACTTTCTCGTCTTCTTTTCCTCTCTCTACACCTAAGTTCCCGTATTAATGTTCGCAAAATAGTGAGTAATGATTCAGTTTTGAGACGACCTCCACACTACGAATGTTTTCGTCAAAAACATTAATCTTTTATTGCTTGCAAAACGCCCTGCAAATAATCAATCCTGAGATTTGTTCAGAACCATTCCAACTGCTCCAAAGCGGCAGGGCAGCCACCATGCAATTGCTGAGATTGGACCCCAAATGCTCACCGCAGAGTCTAGATCTATTTATTACTGGACCAACACATAACATACATTCCTAAGATTTTGGGTTAAATTACATCACGCCTCATATTCCCTGTAAACTTTAGACTACATACATATAGAATCATATCTGGTGCCAACAATTAGGCATGCAAATGAACCAACATGCTCATTAACAACTCTGATCGGCTTGTATTAAATCTCGTTCAAGTTTGTTCTTTCGTATAATGAACCAAGCTGAAAGCCCCATTATAGATCTTGTTTACTAAACAAACCAAACTTGGAAAAATAGCTTGTTCAACTCATCAACAATATAATGTTCAACTCATTAGCCACTTGAACAAATTTTATATCTATATATACTAGCAATAACTCATACCTGAAGGCATGATACAACATAATATTTGAGCACCCAAAAAATTGATCCCACTGTGTGAAATAACAATTTTTCTATCCTTCATTTTCTTTAATTATAGAATTTAAAAGTAATTTTTAACAATTATTTTTTAAAAAAATTAACAAATTTTTTTCAAAATACATAACCTTAAAAAAAAGATAAAAAAGCAATGTGTGTACAACATCATATATGAAAAATGTATGACATAAAATTTATATGAGCCACAAATTAATCAAAAAATAAATAATTTAACTTGTAATAGAAATTAATGATGTGATAAAAAAAGGACAAAAAAATATATGGGAATAAGATTCAAACTTCTAGCTCTCTTATTTTATATATATAGGAGGTAAACAATACACTCCGACATTAAGATTGTTAGAAGAAATAAAAATGTGGGAGAAATTGTAGTAGCCAGTCTTTTTGCTTTTAAGTGGGAAACAATCCCACATCTTGCCAAGGTCAAGATGAATTCAAACTTGACTATGTTGTACATCAATCCGAAAGTTGTATGAAACTCGAACTGGTCTTGAACATTGATGGTACTAGATATACCAATATATGCATTGTCGTTGATCTTTTTTAAAATCTAGAATGGGCCAATCTTCTTCTGGTTTAGCTTGTTGTAGGTTCCAATGGGTAGTCTATCTTTGCACAGATGAACCATAACCAAATTCCCAACATTGAAAAGTTTTTGTTGTCAGTACCTATCTATTGCTTACTTATACTTTGTGTCGACGCTTCCAATTACTGTTTCACCTCTGCATGCACATATGCTAGCTTCTCCAACATGTATCCAGGCACAATGTTCATCCCTAGAAGTTTTTGTAATGGAACCAGATCAAGTGTGTGTAGAGATGCTCAAATGTAAACAATCAGAAATAAAGACTTACCAATGAATCTATTCGGCACGTTGTTGTAACCAAACTTTGACTTGGGACAAAATATTATCCCACTGCCTCGGATATTCCTTGCAAAGACTCCGCTAGATATTCTTTAATGTCCAATTTACCACCTATGTCTGTCCATTAGTTTGAGGATCCCACAAGCTGCTACACTGCAATGAAGTATCTAACTGCTTCCACAAAATTCCCCAGAAATGACTAAGGAACTTGTTGTGAAGATCAAAAGTAATTGTCTTGGGGATAGCATGCAAATGAACAATCTCCCGAAAGAACATGTGAACAACATGAGTAGTATCTGAGGTTTTCCTACATGGGATGAAGCACACCAATTTGGAAAATATATCAACCACAACATAAATAAAATTCATACCACATTAAGTCCACGGAAAGACCCAACACAAAATCCATGGTCATATCCTCCCAAGGTGCGTCTGAAATGGACAGAAGAATGTAAAGAGTGGCGAAGTAGCCCAGCAACCCATTATTCGACCCAACCCAGACCTGCCCACTGCCCAACCCAACGGCCCACTGTCCAATCCACTCATCAGCCCATTGTCGGGTCACTTTTTCGTTGTAGCTTCGTCCTTCGCACACTTCGTCACAGTATTGTCAGATTGTAGTATCTAGGACTTTTTTAGGAGGGAGTGGATCCTATTCTCCGATAATCTTCTTTTGATGTAGTAGATCACTTATTTATCTTTATTGGATTTCTAGGCACCNCCAAACTTTGACTTGGGACAAAATATTATCCCACTGCCTCGGATATTCCTTGCAAAGACTCCGCTAGATATTCTTTAATGTCCAATTTACCACCTATGTCTGTCCATTAGTTTGAGGATCCCACAAGCTGCTACACTGCAATGAAGTATCTAACTGCTTCCACAAAATTCCCCAGAAATGACTAAGGAACTTGTTGTGAAGATCAAAAGTAATTGTCTTGGGGATAGCATGCAAATGAACAATCTCCCGAAAGAACATGTGAACAACATGAGTAGTATCTGAGGTTTTCCTACATGGGATGAAGCACACCAATTTGGAAAATATATCAACCACAACATAAATAAAATTCATACCACATTAAGTCCACGGAAGACCCAATACAAAATCCATGGTCATATCCTCCCAAGGTGCGTCTGAAATGGACAGAAGAATGTAAAGAGTGGCGAAGTAGCCCAGCAACCCATTATTCGACCCAACCCAGACCTGCCCACTGCCCAACCCAACGGCCCACTGTCNAGGTGCGTCTGAAATGGACAGAAGAATGTAAAGAGTGGCGAAGTAGCCCAGCAACCCATTATTCGACCCAACCCAGACCTGCCCACTGCCCAACCCAACGGCCCACTGTCTAATCCACTCATCAGCCCATTGTCGGGTCACTTTTTAGTTGTAGCTTCGTCCTTCGCACACTTCGTCACAGTATTGCTAGATTGTAGTATCTAGGACTTTTTTAGGAGGGAGTGGATCCTATTCTCCGATGATCTTCTTTTGATGTAGTAGATCACTTATTTATCTTTATTGGATTTCTAGGCACCGTGACCTGATTATTTGAGAGCTTTTTGGACCTTCTTTATCTGTCGCTACAGTTCGACTAAAGGTATATTATTCTCCTTTATTTTGTCCCTTTATTTATCTTAGAGTTATTTTTCTGTCACGGGTGCCCTAGTTTTGTTGATAATATGACTACTACTGAGGGAGTTGAGACCCCTACCGTTGAGACATCTGTTAATACTTCTACCGAATATAGGGGTCGACAACGCTCAACCCAGTGTCGTCAGGGTACCCCATATCAGCGTAGACATGGAGATTCTCGTCAGTGTGATTATTGTAGCCGACTAGGACATCTCAGGGCTGCTTGTTGAAAGCTCCATCCAGAGCTTAAGCCGCCTCCTCGCTACCGTACTGCTGCCATTGCTGAGGCATCACCATTTACAGTCATTACTCCTGCTACTACTGTTATTATTCCTCCTTAGCAGAGTGGTATGGATGTTATCACTTCTCGCTTAGATATACTTATGTCAGCCCTGAATTTTCAAGGTTCGACTACTACTGCTGCTACTACTACAGGTATACCTCGTGTATTTCATACTTGCGCCAGTCCGTCTTCCCTTTGGATACTGGACTCGAGTGTGAATGGTCATATGACAGGTGATGCCCATCATTTCACCTCTTTTGACAAGCAGTTACATGCTCAAGTTCAGTTAACAGATGGTACACATGCCCCTACTGTTGATAGGGGTACAATCCGCCTCCCAGATGGCTCTACATTACGTTCGGTGTTTCATGTGCCAAAGTTAACCAGAGATTTTTACTATACAATTATGTTCTTATCTGATTCGTGTTATTTGCATGACCTGATTACCAGGAGAATTATTATTAGGGGGCATGAGAGAGATGGACTATATTATCTAGGCGATTCACCTTCACCTCTAGTTTTACCAATTTCTCCGCCTCTACTTTCATCACATGTTTTGTCTTTATCTGCTCCTAGCTTGCATGCTAGTATTTTACCTAGTACTTGTCGTTATGATTTTTCATCACAAACTGTTCAGTTGTGGCATGACTGTTTTGGGCATACAAATTTTAAATATTTATGTATGTTATTTCCTGATTTGAGCAAAGCTTGTGTTAGTCGTAAAATTGACTGTGTATATGTTCCCTATCAAAACATGTTCAGACCAGTTATATTCCTCATATGCACTAGTCACCCAAATCATTTGACCTCATACACTCTGATATTTGGGGACCCTCTCCTATTACTGCTCTGTCAGGTACTCGTTATTATATGACATTTATAGATAATCATACCCGTTGTACTTGGGTCTACCTTTTGCATAGGAAGTCGAATGTACTCTCTGTCATCACTCAATTTTTTCAGATGATTAAGACACAATTCGAAGTCATTGTTCGTGCTCTTCGTTCAGATAATGTCAAAGAATATGTGTCTGATGCCTTAGTATCTCACATTTCTTCTTGGGGTATCCTTCAACAGCTCACTTATCCATATACTCCTGAGCAAAATAG